ATCTTCCGTTTTGGTATAGAGTGGGACAGGGAGGGGGTGATGCTACTGTAGTCGAACGGTGGGACGGACGTGCAGTTCAGTTTTTGGGCACGCATACGGTGCTGCAGGGATTTTCAGGTGTACCTCTTCGGGCTCTTGGATACCTTTTGCTCGTTATATGTGTGCGTGTTCTTTAGATCCTCAGATGGCTCTATCACTTTCGTGACCACGGGCTGAGAGTCTTTGCTAGATTTTGGCATTAGGCAACTGACATACGGTTTAATGTGAAGACAACAACAACAACAACTCTACATGCGGGTGTTTCTTTCCGTTTTGATGCACATGCACAAAAAAGCAAAATGTGAAGTCTTCCCGCTGTGCGGACGCAAAGACGAACATCTGGGCATCTGGAATAAGCACACATGCGGCATCCCCCTGGCGGCGAGCGTATCACACATCACACCGTCGAGGAGCACGACCAGCAGCGTAGAAATAGGATTGTGACACGATGACAGATGGCAAATATTGCGTCAGGCTCACAACTTGCTCGCCACATTCGTCTCAACCCTTCCGAGTTTCCCGCCCAAGGGAAAGCAAGCAGTACAGCATGAACCAAAAACAACAAAAAGCTGTGGATGGTCATGTGACGTCATGACTTTGATGCGAGAGGCCGAGAGGCCCTGCTGCAGCCCTGCAGCAGCAACAACAGCATGCATAGGGCACGGCTTTTTCTGCGAAGACAGTCCGTAGGGCGGTGCAAACACGCAATCTGAACCGATCCCGCGGGGAACCATCCTGATAACGCACAGCAGCAGCAGTAGTAGACCCGCACGCCCTTGACGTATTCTCTCGATGATGGTGTGATCTGGACTTGGGAAGGTGTGCTATTTGTTAATTGTGTGATAATCGGTCTGCTATTTTTGAAGCAGTTGGTTGAACCCACTCAACATCAATTGAAAACCCGCCAGGTTACACATGGCGCATGCCTACAGTATACCCACGGTGCACAGGTCGTATGGGCCCGGCCCCTCCTGGTTTTCATAGCTGGTCTCAGACCAGCGTCTCAGCGGTGATGCGTTTGTTGGTGGTGTTCTTGCGTGTCTGTCGGTGTTTCTTGTCCTGGTTTGAACCGCGCGCGCGCGATCCCGCTTTTGTGCACGCCTCTTCGCGTAGAAACCCCCGGGTTGGGGAGAAAAATCTCCTACAATAAAAGGCTACATATGCCGGTGAAGCACGGCCATCTGCTCTCAGAGCACGACGAAACCGGTGTGGAGAAAAGCGCATTATTATTCTTCTTCCTCAGGAGCGTACAGATCGTCAATCGGTGCCCTATGGATCTCGCTCTGGTCCCAAAGGTGCGCTAAATAGGCTTCCCTGAAATCAAGTTTTGGGGCCCCTGTATCGCGCGGCGCAACTTTGGCCGATATAAAAAGCCGTTTTTTCCCTCCTGGGAACGAAGGGAAAAAATGTCGCTCGCTTCGCTCGCTGCGCAGCTCATTAGAATATACTAGAGTTGGAGGTGGAATAGTTTTTTGTGGTGGTGGCACAAAAGTACCTGCAGTAGGCTCGTGCGTCTGTTACAGAAGAACGGGGGGCGGTCCATCATCACCAGCTAGAGAGGGGGGTGGTATCCATCATCATTCGCTAGAGGGGGGG